CATTCTCCCAACTTTTTGGAACCGATTTGAGTTGCCGGTGTCTGGTTTTGGGTCATACGGCGGAAACATTTGCAGAAAACAGAGGATTCCTGGGCGTAAACGAGCCCTTTCCCTGGCTCTCCTCCTTGGCTCCCGTCTCTCCGCCCCGACCTCTGTGGCCCCTGTCCTCGCTGAGACTGCGCAGCGCCCTCGGTGGAATCCCGGAGTGCCCCCGTTAGTGGGATGCCTGACCTTGTCCGGGGGTGGGGGGGGGACTGGGTCTGCCTGGAGCAGAGGCCCCGCCCCCTTCGTGGGACGCCTGACCTTGTGGGGGGGGGGGGGGGGGGGGGTGGGGGGGGGGCTGGGTCTGCCCTGAGCAGGGGCTGCTCCGTCTCCGGTCTCCAAGGGGCCTCTCTTCTTCTCAGACTTGCACCGTCAGTCTGTAACAGCTTGTCTCCCTTCTTAAAAATAAATTTCAAAAAGCCCTGGCTGGTGTGGCTCAGGGACTGAGTGCTCGGGCTGTGAACCAAAAGGTCACCGGTTCGATTCCCAGTGAGTGCCCATGCCTGGGTTGAGGGCCAGGTCCCCAGTGGGCATTGCGTGAGAGGCAACCAACTGATGTATCTCTTGTGTATCGTTTCTCTCCCTCTCTTTCTCCCTCCCTCCCCCTCTCTCTAAAAATAAAATATTTAAAAAATAATTTAAAGAAGAAGATAATATAGACACATGGTAAAAAAAGAAAAGCCAGTTATTTAAAGATATAAAAATGGCGAAAATGTCTGCCTCTGCGCCAAGCTGCCCGCCCCTCCCGTCGGCGCCTCGTCCCAGACAGGCCGGTCCGGGCCGGGGCGTCCATGGGGGTTTGTTTCCTGTGTCTGCTTGGCTGTGCGGCCGCGTCGGGCCCAGCACCACTCTGCGTGTTGCTGTGCGGGTACATTTCAGGTGTGAATTTCAGGTGTGATAAACATTTAGAGTCAGCCCTGGCTGGTGTGGCTCAGTGGACTGAGCGCCGGCCTGCAAACCAAGGGGTTGTCGGTTCGATTCCCAGTCAGGGCACACGCCTGGGTTGTGGGCCAGGTCCCCAGTAGGGGGACGCATGGGAGGCAACCACACACGGATGTTTCTCCCTCTCTTTCTCCCTCTCTTCCCCCTTTCTAAAAATAAATTAAAAATATATGTTTCTTTTATAAGAACAGCCATTTACAATTAGTAGATTCTGAGTGAAGCGCGAGGCCCTCCCTCACGTGACCGGAACCTCGTCCAAGAGGCTGAAGGCCTCAGAAGCAAAGACTGAGCCCTGGCTGGTGCGGCTCAGTGGACCGAGCCCCGGCCTTCCAACCAAAGGGCCACTGGTTGGATTCCCAGTCAGGGCACGTGCCTGGGTTGCAGGCCAGGTCTCCAGAAGGGGGCGCACAGGAAGCAACTACACATCGATGTTCATCTCCCTCTATCCCTCTCTTCCCCTCTCTAAAAATAAATAAATAAAATTCTTAAAAAACAGCAAGCACTAAGATTTTCCAAATAAGAAGGGATTTTCCTCAATTCTGCAGCATAGAAATGCCACCCAAGTTTCCAGCTTGCAGCCCTGCAGAATCTGGCGTCAAGATGGCAACATCAGGTCTTACTGGAATTTCCGCCCGAGTTCCTGCCCAGCTGGCCTGCCGGCCTGCCAGCCTGCTCTGTGGGCCTCAGACCTGCCAGCCCCACCACCATGCGAGGCAGCTCCCTCGTCCACCTCTCCCACGCCCTCTCAGGACACAGTATCGACTCTGCGTCTCTGGACAACCCTGGCCCCCCAGGTCCGCACTTCGCGCCCCCAGGGGAGGAACTCTGGGCTGCAGGTGGCATGTCCACTCAGCACACGCCTGCCCAGTCACGCGTCCCCCGCCCCCGCCCCCCTGCCCCCCCCTTCCAGCAGCACCCACCCGAGGGTGTGCCCCTCCTCTGGCAGCTGGCACACTCCTCCTCCTCCTGGCCCTCTGCCACTCTGAATTCTCACCCTGATCCTGCAGAGATGGCCGGCAACGCCCTCTGTGGCCCCTCCACTGCTTTGGGAATATTGCCAGCAAGCTCCTCCTGGGAAGCTTAGTGTCCTTGTAAATCTCCCCAAGGCCAGCTTTCTGGGGTGCCAAATCCCCTTTTTCTTTGAAAAGTGACCACCCAAATAAGAGTGAATTTCGATGGCGACCCTACTGAGGACAAGGTCTGGACTCTGGCGCAGTGAGACAGTGAGGGTCTGCTTCCTGGGGGCACAGACCTGGGCGGCAATCCCGGCTCCTCCCCCTGGGGGGCAGCACTGTGGCCTTTCTGAGCTAGCTTCCTCCTCTGCACTAAGGATGACCCACCTGCAGAATGGCCCCTGAGATTGCTCTCCAAGCGCCACACCCTAGCTCCCAGCTCAGTCTGTGCCAGTTTCCTTATCCTTGCCAGGGTCATCGTCACGGTCAGCTGAGTGGCCGGAAAACACACACACCTGGGCCTTGTCACCTGTGAGGCTCTTGTAAAGCTCTCTCTCCGTGTTAAGTTCTGCTCATAATGTTTTAACGACACCAGTAATAAAAGCACAGGTAGTTAAGGTGAACAGCGAGATATTTGGGAGAAGGTTTGTCGTTTTATAATCTATGAATTATGTCAACAGACGTCACGACCGCCTTTCTGAAAAAGCATCAAGAACGGCAATTTGTCGAAATGCGTTTGTTGGGGCAGAAATTGCACAGGGGCATGGCCCCACACCCCAGTTAGAGGCGGGTGGTCTGAGGCAGGAGGTAGGAGGGAGGGAGGAAACTCTGGAGGTGCCTGAGGGCTAAGACGAAGGACACTGATACAAGACGGGAGACCCTGTTCTAGAAGCGGTTATCCCACTTTCTGGAAAAGCGCTGAACCATGGTGACTCACGAATACACCTGTGCAGGAGATGCTATGTGGCCCCTGCTTCATTATAACAGCATTGTAATAAATCAGCTTTGTGCGACCCCCTTCCCCTGGCCAATCAAGGAAAATCATGGGAGACCACATGCACTGTAGCTTAAAAGTAATGTAACTACTTGTACGTGTGCAATAAAGGCCCGCCAAAGCCAGCCGGGAAATACCTGCCCTGTAAGAACAGAATCCCACCCGGCTGGCGTAGCTCAGTGGATTGAGCGCGGGCTGAGAACCAAAGTGTCGTAGGTTCGATTCCCAGTCAGGGCACATGCCTGGGTTGCAGGCCATGACCCCCAGCAATGGTACATTGATGTTTCTCTCTCTCTTTCTCTCTCTCTCCCCTCCCTTCCCTCTCTAAAAATAAATAAATAAAATATTTTTTTAAAAAAAGGAGAACAGAATCCCTCCAGCCCCTGAGGGTCCATCTTTGCTGGAGTTGGCCTGCTCCCGCCTTCTGTGGAGTGTACTGTCACCTAATAAATCTCTCTCTCCCTTTCTGCCGTGAGCTCCCTGTGTGTTCAGTTCAATTCATTGTTCACGATCACGAAGAAGCTGGGTACCTTTGCTCACCTGTGATGGTTTCCGCGCACACACATGGCCACCCTGGGGCTCTACAGTACTGGTCACCACACCTGATAGGTTTGGACTGTGCTTCCAGTGGACGCTAATCACAGAGGGAGCCGCTGAGTGCGGCCCCGGTGGTCTCCGAGTTTGTGGACCGCCCTCCCCGCCTGAGGCCGCCCCCTCCACACCGCAGGAGCATGGAGAGGGCTCGTGAGGGGGTGCAGAGAGCTGGAAATGCACACCGGCGCCGTTCGTTTCTGCTCCGACCCTGGAAGCACTGTCTCGAGTGTCATGCGGGCGAGACAGGAGAGAGCACTGAGGAGACCGCAGCCCCCGAAGAGGGAGAAACGCGCAGGAAAGGACGGCGTCCACGCGGCCAGTTTCTGTTGCTGGACGTGCCCGCCGCAGACCCGGGTGCTCAGCCAGGGGGCTGCGTGGACCGTCCTGCGCCTCAGGAGTGCCCAGGCCTTTGTCCTTCAGGTCCCCGGCCAGGCTCCTGTGTGTGCACTGGGTCATCAAGGGTGTCAGGGTGGTTGGGGACACGGGCTGTGACGGAATTCACAAAGGGAAGGAGGTGCGGGGTGGGGGGGGGAGGTTGGACTTTACTTTCCCAAGGGAGGGAGAGGGCTGGGCGCGAAGAAATCCGCCGGCACCGCCCTGAGGGGCCGGGGCTGGGAGTTTCAGCGGGGACCAGGCGGCTGTAGAGCAGGCTGTTTCGGCGAGGCTGCCGCTTGTGTCTAGGTCGTCTTTGGGTGCAGGGTCCGCGGTCGTTGGGGTCCGGCGTGCCCTGTTCTGCAAGCCCCCGGAGTCTGGGCACCTTCAGGACGCTTCTGGCGATTCTCTAGTCCCGAAGATGAAGGCTCACAACACCGTCAGGGTCAAGTTATGCTGCATGGGGTCCAGCCGGCTCTGGGCAGGAGCCTGGGGCAGGGGCTTGGTCCTGCTGAGGGGCAGCCACGGGGTCCGTCAGGATTAGACACAGCACGTGCCCGTCCTGTGTCTCCTGGACCGGCCCTCCCTTGGTCGTTACAACCACCGCTTCAAAGTCCTATCATGCAGTTAATACTTCCGTGATAACACAGTAATGGGGGCTTCAGAGTGAAGGCACCCCCCGAAGTAACATTCCTGGCACCTCAGTGCTTCGCTTTCTTTCGGTGGTAGGGTCAAGGGTGAGATCCCAGGATGGTTACCAGAGAGAGGGAGACAGGCGAGGAAGGAGAGGGGTGGGGAGGAGGAGGAGGAGGAGGAGGAGGAAGACCGAGGAAGAGGGAGGGGGAGGGAAGGAGCGCGCGCGGGGCTAGAATCGCCCCAGCCTTCCGCCTAAGCGAGGGCTTGACCTGGACCGGCGAGGAGCCGGATGACCGGCCCCCAGAAAGTCCCCCGGACGCTGCCCCTGCAGTGCACCCGCCCGACCTGAGACCCCGTCCTAGCCCCGCCCACTCAGGGCCCCGCCCCCACGGGAGGGCCCCGCCCCCCACGTGAGGCCCTCGCCCCCACGCGAGGGCCCCGCCCCCCACGTGAGGCCCTCGCCCCACCCCCCGGACGCGTCTGCAGCTGGTCCGCGCCCTCGCCCACAGCCTCCCGCCGCATGTTGCTTCGCGTCGGCCCGGCCGCGCTCCCCCGAGTTCTGCGCGCTCTCGGGCCCGCTCCCGTCGCCTCCATGAGCACCGGCACCTTCGTCGTTTCGCAGCCGCTCAACTACCGCGGCGGAGCCCGCGTGGAGCCGGCGGACTCCTCGGGCGCGGAGAAGGAGAAGGCGTACGAGCCGGCCACCGGTAACGGCGCGCGGGGGCGGGGGCGGGGGCCGGAGCCGGGTCAGCGCCGCGCGGCCTGCGGGCCCGGGAGCGGCGCGGGGCCTGGAGCGGGCGCGCAGCCCGCCGCGCAGTCGCTCCCTGTTAATGATTACCGCCCACAGCCGGGCCGGGGGGCAGCGGCGGCTCCCCGAGGGCAGCGGGGGACACCGGTGCGAGGACCAGGCGGCGCCCCGATGACGCTGCGACACCGAGGGGCTGGCGGTCCCCGCCAGAGTTCAACTTCGCTGTGCGTGGTGGTGAACCCGAGTAGGGCCGAAGGCGTGCCCGGCACCGCTCGGAGAACGGAGCGGGGCAGCGAGAGGTTTCCCGTTCGGTTCGGTCTGCTGGGCTTTGTGGGTTCTGTGCGGGGCGCGCCACCCCGAAGGGCCTGCAGCCCGAGCGCTAGGTCGGCTTGCTTGCGCGGGACCGGAGGGCTGGGACTCGCCGCCCTCGGAGACCCCCCCCCTGCCCAGCAGGAAGCGGCCTGGGCACCCACACACACTCTCCGCGAGGAGGAAACAGCCCTTAGGCCGCCCCCCTCCCCCCAGGAACGTGAAAGCCGGAAAACCGGCTCTTTGCGTTAATCCCCTGCGTGTGAGATCCGTAATCCGTAGCCGTTGCCCTCACCGGCTGGCCGCCCGACTTTGTGACAAGTTGCAGGTTTGTGCAACTCGGGGAAAGCAGAGACCCTGGAGGTCTTCAGGGAGGGACGGGCAGGCGGACTGGGCTGACGACCGAGTTCCTGCTGGTAGTCGGTGGGTGGGTCCCAGCCTGGCGGACAGGGGCTCGGGCAGCAGTTTGCCCAGAACAGGGACAGGGAATGAGGTTGGGGTAAGAGCAGGAAAGGATTTAATATATATATATACACACACACACATGTACATATGTATATGTGTGTGTGTGTGTGTGTGGAGAAAAAATAAACGCGGTTGCATTTAGGGCGATTTTTCCTGACTCAGCCGCTTACTCGCCCCGTCCATCAGGCCGTAGCGTGGGCCCTGCGGGAGGGTTTCCGCGGAGCCCCGGCCGGGGATGTCCAGTCAGAACCCACAACCCTCGGGGCCGAGCACAGTGCTTCCTCGTTGACTGGGCAAGGCCCTGCGCTCCTCCAGTGCCGGAAGTCGACGTGGCAGAGTGGTTGCCGCGGAGTCAGTGCCGGCAACACAGCTGTGGAATGGGGGCGGTGGGCAGGGCTCCTCACCTGCCGTCGGGGCGTGCTGGGGGCAGCGGCCGTGATCTCGCCAGTTAGGTGACAGGATTGCCGTCCTCCTCAGAGGCGTCTGCAGCTTCTATTAGATTCTTCAAGGGGGCCAGTGACCCCAAAGCAAGGCCAGGAACTGCTGGGGTAGGGGCGGCCACTAAGTCACCACATACCGAAAGACAAGAGGAGGGTCTGGCCTGCAGCCCTTCAAGGCCGGGCGGGTTCACAGGGGACGCGGGCAGACGGAACGACATTTGAGGGGCCCGTGGGGACGTCAGACAGGCCTTTATTCTGGGAAAGGTGGGGCAGTCCATGGGTGCCACCAGCCAGGTGTTACATGGCAGGAAGTGCCGACTCCCTTACACGCTGAATGCGCATGAAGCCGGCCGGATGCCAACACATTATATAACAGACCGCGATTGCTCTGGGTTGTGTGAACACGGACGGCTAAGTCTCGGCTGCCCGGGCATCCGGGCGAGGGAGCCCGGCCGATTCCATTTTCCCTGCGGTAGCCCTGAGAGGAGCCTGGGATACGTAGTAGCTGATTTCCCTGTGCGCCGGGCTGGGAGTGAACCCGTGTGCTGTGTCTGTCTCTAGGCCGGGTGATAGCCACTTTCACGTGCTCCGGAGAAAAGGAGGTGCATTTGGCTGTTCAAGATGCAAAGGCCGCCTTCAAGATATGGAGGCAGAAGTCCGGCCTGGAGCGGGGCCGCGTCCTCTTGGAGGCTGCCCGGATCATACGGGTATGCTTCCGTTTATCCCCTTCCCGGACGGCGGGCAGGCCGTGGCTCAGAGAGAACCCGTTTCCCGGCCGGCCTGGGAGGTTTTTCCTGTCTTACCCCATCACTCCCCACCCTCCAGAAAAGGTGATCCGTGAAAGATCGCCGGGAGATCTATCCACACAGGGATCATCCAGAAACGTCCGTGTAGATCGTCACCTTAGGTGTACTTTCCCGGACTTTCCCGTTCATCCCGGAGCTGTGTCCACCGTCTTTGCATTGTAGGCTGCAGCCGGAGCGGCATTTGCAAAGAGAATCGCTGAGTTCTGCGTGTTGGGGGCGACGTGGCCTTTCTCTGGGGGTGCTAACACGCCGCACGCCTACCCTCTCCCGCCCGTGGGGTGGCCGGCCGGCCGTGTTGCATCCTTCTCTAAGGACGGTCCTCTCCTGCTGGGCCCATGCACACGTGCAGACTCACATACATGTGCTCGTACACGCACACCTGTGCGACTCTCACTTCCCACAGCGCCCCTCCTCTGGCCGATCCTGAAACGAGGCGCCCGTCTCGGACCCGGGGCCGCTCCCCTGGTGGGAGGACGGGTTTGCTGCCCAGCACTCAGCCTTTGTCTCTCTTCCCAGCGCAGCGCTGCCGTTCCCTTTCTCTTCTTTGTGTCTTTCTTAAAGGTCTTATGTATTTATTTTTAGAAGAAGACAATGGGAGGGAGAAAGAGAGGGAGAGAAACATCAACGCGTGGTTGCCGCTTGTGCGCCCCCTACTGGGGGACCCAGGCATGGGCCCTGACTGGGAATCAAACCAGCGACCCTTTGCTTCGCAACCCAGTGCTCAGTCCACCGAGCCACACCAGCCAGGGCCCGTTCCCTTTATTTCCATTTAAACAAAAGCCGTCTCTGTCTTTCCCATCGAGGCCCCGTTGTCCGTCGGCGGATGGACTCGGTTCCTTCCGGTGCGTGGCAGCGTGTCTGAAAGCTGGTCTCTGCTCGGCCGCAGGAGCGGAAGGATGAGATCGCCACCGTGGAGACCATCAACAACGGCAAGTCCGTCTTCGAGGCCCGCTGGGACGTCGACACCTGCTGGCAATGCCTGGAGTACTACGCGGGCCTGGCTGGCTCCATGGGCGGTGAGCCTCGCCCGCCCTCCGCGACCGGCTGCTGAGGGTGGCCGGCAGAGCCCGGGGTGCAGGGCAGAGGTTTCAGGGGTGAGGCGGGTCTGGGTTGTTGTCCCCCCCCGGAGGCCCAGTGGTGTTAGGGAGCGCTGGGAGGGGAGGGGGGCCAGGACTCAGTGTGTGCAGAGGACGTGCCACAGCCGACGGGGTGTGGAGAACGGGCGGGAGAGTGCAGCCGGCGGGTGGGGGGCCGGGTGCAGCGAGCAGCCGGGGCGGGCCAGGTGAGGACCGGGAGAGAACAGGTGTCTGTGAGGCCTCGGGGACAGCACACCTGCCCTCTTCCTCACTCTTGTCTTTCCCCGCAGGCGAGCACGTCCAGCTCCCAGGCGGGTCCTTCGGTTACACCAGGCGGGAGCCGCTGGGCGTGTGCGTGGGCATAGGGGCCTGGAACTACCCCTTCCAGATCGCCTGCTGGAAGTCGGCCCCGGCCTTGGCTTGTGGTGAGCAAGGCCGTCCCTCCAGCGCGTGCCTGTCCCTTCTGTCCCTCGCCGCTGCACACTCACGGACCCTCCCACACTCACACACCCTCACACTCACGCACCCTCCCACACTCTCCCTTACTCTCCCATTCACACGCACACTCATTCACACACTCATTCACACACACCCATACTCACACACACATGTATACACTCACTTTCACTCATACACACTGACACATACCCCCACACACACACTCCACTGATACACACACTCATACACATTCACATACCCGTACACACTCACTCACACCCTCACATCACACACACACTCGTTCTCACTCACACACGCTGACGCACACACGTGCGCACTTTCCTCACCTCCGGAGGCCGTGCTGGGCGTCCGAGCCTCAGACGACACGTGTCCCTTCCTGCCCAGCCCTGCGGGGGGCGGGGCTCGTGGTGCGGGGGCGGGGGGCCCATGGGGGCTGGCCAGGTCGCTCCTGGTGGCTCGTCTCACTGGCTCCGTTCCCGGGAAGGACGGCGGTCGGCGTGGGTGTCGGAGGCTCGTTCCTTACTCGCGAGTCAGACGGCTGCGGCGTGTGCTCCTGGACGTTCTCTTCCTTCCCGGACGTGGGTCCCCGTACGGGGGGTGGAGGGGGGGCCTTAGGAACCCGAGGCGGCGCGGGGAGCAGAGGCCAGCTCCCACCCCCATTTGTGTGCGGAGAAACGGCGCCCACGGCCCCGTCACGGGTGCTGTGGCCGGCGGGCTTCCCGGGGGGCCTCGTCCCCTTTGAAGACAGGAGCCTGCAGGGAGGGCGACTGCCCGAGGACGCGTGTGAGGTGCGAGGGACGCGGCGCTGACGCTGCAGCCCTCCACGTTCTCCCACACGGCCCCGAGGTCCAGGGAGACACGGGCCGGCGGCGTCCCCGGCTTTGGGGACTGGTCCGACTGCTTGACCGCCCTGGGCTCCAGTGCAACTGTAGTGAAACGGGCCCACTCCGCCCCGCCCGCTCCAGCCGGCGCAGGGGCCAGGTGTGGTGCGGCGGGGGAGGGGCCTGCGCACACAGGTGTGGGGCCGCTGGTGGCCGAGCCAGTGTGGGGGGGTGGGGGCTGTGTGATGAGCGAGGCCGAGGGGACGATGAGATGCACCTGCCGACGGGAACGGACTCGGCGGGCCGGGGCACAGCTGGAGGCGTGCTCGGTTTGTCCCGTCTCACCCGTGTGTGTGTGTGTGTGTGTGTGTGTGTGTGCGTGCGCGCGCGTGCGTGTGATGCAGGAAACGCCATGGTCTTCAAGCCGTCCCCGTTCACGCCCGTGTCCGTGCTGCTGCTGGCTGAGATCTACACCCAGGCCGGGGCGCCCCCCGGCCTCTTCAACGTGGTGCAGGGCGGGGGCGCCACGGGCCAGCTCCTCTGTCAGCACCCCGACGTGGCCAAGGTCTCCTTCACCGGCAGTGTGCCCACCGGCGCGAAGGTGAGGTCCCGCAGGCTGGGCTGGCGCCAGCGGCGCCCATGGCGGAGGCCCGAGCCCCGGTCCTCCCCGGCTGGTCTGGGAGGGAGGCTGCGGGCGTCCCCCAGGCGAGGTGGACAGACGTCACCGCCCCCCATGGACTGCCCCCGTGTGGTGGGATGACTCGGCGCACCTGGGGCAGCCGCCTCGGAAGGAAGGGTGTCCTCTGTGTACTTTACTTCACACTCTTGGCTTTGACCTTCATCTGGGCTCCGACCCCGTCAGCCCCGAACGTGGTGCCGGCAGCACCAAGCGTTTCTGCCCGTGGGAGTCAGCACGGAGGCTGCTGAGCGTCCCCTGGGTCCTCGGTGGTGTTCAGATGAGTCCCCCTTCTCTCCGTGGGCTCTCGTCGGCATCCGGGCAGAGCTTTTAAGTGGGCGGAGCCCGCAGCGAGCACCGGGAACAGGGCAGCGCGGCCCGCGGCGGCGGCAAGTCTGGCGGCCCGGGGCCCAGGTCACTGAGCGTGCGTCTGCTCTTGTTCCCTGAGGTCATGGAGGCCTCGGCGAGAGGAATCAAGCCCGTCACCTTGGAGCTGGGAGGCAAGTCTCCTCTGATCATCTTCTCGGACTGCGACCTGGAGAACGCCGTGAAGGGGGCGCTGATGGCCAACTTCCTCACGCAGGGCGAGGTGAGCGCGCCGGGAGGGGCCGGCCAGGGGGCGGCCGGCGGCAGGCTGCGGGGAAGCCGGTGTCTGGAGGCGGTGTCGGGCTCACGGGGTGGGGGGGTCGCACGGATGGATGGGGCTCGCAGCGCTCGCGTGCACTTCCGAGCTGGGCGCCTCCCGTGTCCCCGGTTCCCCGCGTTTGTCGTCCTGGGTCTCCCTGTAGCGTGTGCGCTGCTGTCTCTGAGAACCTCCGGAAGTCACAGGCACAAGATCCCCAACTGTAAATCCTCCTGTGTTTCCCGAAAACGCGTATGTTCTCTGCCCCAGCCCAGCATGCTCTGGAAAACTGCCAGTGCGACCACCCAGTCCCCGGATCTTGTTTTTGTTTGTTTGCTGGCCTTTCGGCCAGAGCAGACGGTTTTCTGTTTGCTTGTTGGGCTACACAGACTTGTGACAAATACACCTCCTGGCGGTCAGGAGTGCGGGTTTTTCACGGTTCCCTCTGCGTTTGGCCCGAGGGCGTGGATGGAGCTCTGTGCTCCGAGGGTGCTGGGCTCGGCCCTGCCTCTTCCCCGCCCCCGTGTGGTGTGTGTTTAAGTAACTCGTTCATGTAGTTCTCTTTCATTTGAGGTTTATTTTCCCCATCCTGCTGCTTTTAAAGTTTCACTTACTGTGTAATTAGGGGAAATACCAACGTGGTTCTAAAAGTTAAAATTTTGCAAAAAGCCACACAGAAACGTCCGTCTTCCGCATTGCCCTTGACCGGCTCCCACCCCCTCCTGAGGCTGCCGGCCCAGCCTGTTTCTGACTTGTCCTTCCTGTGTTTCTTTTTACACAAGGGAGCAGTACTTACGTATATGCATTTGAAGACTTTTTATTTGTTCGTTCTTACAGGGGGAGGGAGGGAGAAAGAGGAGGAGACAGACATCAGTGTGTGAGTGATACATTGATCGGGGACCTCTCACGCGCCCCCTACTGGGGACCTGGCCCACAACCCAGGCACGTGCCCCGGCTGGGAATCGAACCATCGACCCTTTGGTTCGCAGGCCGGCACTCAGTCCACTGAGCCACATCAGCCAGGACACCCAGGTGTTTCTTACTTCCCGCCTCTCTTACGCACGGGAGCTGGCATATCGGAGGCCCTTCCTCGCACTTGACTTTCTCCGCTAATACCTGGAAATCCTGGCTGCCCAGCATAATCCCTTGTGCCGCTGGTGGCGTTTGAACAGGAGTGAAGTTCATGTCTACGGGCAAGTCGAAATCCTTGATAATCGTGGTTTTGGAGACAGGCGTTGCTTACGCAATGCTCCGGGCTTTCACTGGGCTTAAGCCCTGGGTTCTTAACTGCTTTTGCTCTGTCCCCTCTCATCCTTCCCTCTCCCTCCTGAACATGCGCCAGGCTGAGCGGCTGCTAGGGGCGCACAGGAGAGGGAGGGCCCGAGGGCCTCGGCGACATTTAAACACGGGAAGACGGAGGTTTCGTCTCAAAGGGCAGGCAGCTTGTGCTGTGGGGTGACGTGCCCGCAGTTACATGTGCGATCCTCGTCGTACAGGGGTAGTTTTCATCGATGGGAGTAACCTTTACACAAGTACAGTGTATTTGTTGCCCCGGCTGGTGTGGCTCAGTGGATTGAGCACCAGCCTGTGAGCCAGAGGGTCTCCAGTTCGATTCCCAGTCAGGGCTCATGCCTGGGTGGTGGGCCAGGTCCCCAGTAGGGGGCGCCTGAGAGGCAACCACACACTGATGTTTCTCTCCCTCTCTTTCTCCCTCCCTTCCCCTCTCTCTAAAAATAAATAACATCTTTAAAAACACTATAATGTATCATTTTTAGGTTAAACCTATAGGATTTTCATTCCTTTCCTTTTTTTTTTCTTTGCATACTGATAATTTGTGTCTGCTTTTTTAAGGTTTGTTGTAATGGCACCAGGGTGTTTGTGCAGAAGGAGATTCTGGGTAAATTCACAGAGCAGGTGGTGAAGCGGACCCAAAAGATAAAAATTGGGGACCCCCTTCTGGAAGACACCAGAATGGGCCCCCTCATCAACCGGCCGCACCTGGAGCGCGTCCTTGGGTTTGTCAAAGTGGCCAAGGAGCAGGTGAGGAACTGGGGGGGTGGTGCTGGGATGGAGGGGAGGGGGCCCTTCCTGGGACCGCACGCCCTCGGCTCTTGGGGTCTGGGGCAGCGTCCCCATCTGTCCCTGCGGCGGGTGACTAAGTACGCATTCGTCCAGGAGTGCACGGGGCGGGGTGGGGGGCTTGCGTGTTCGACACGAGGTGAGCATGGCGGCTTCTCTGTTGCAGGGGGCCAAGGTGCTGTGTGGGGGAGAGCCGTACGTGCCCGAAGACCCCAAACTGAAGGACGGCTATTACATGAGCCCCTGCGTGCTGAGTACGTCTTCCCCTTCGCGTTTGCTCTCCGACGGTCCGAGCAAACTGTTGGGTGGGAAGGGGTTCCTGTCAAGTGCGTGCGTGGTGCCAAGCAGGGGTTGGCAGACGGTGTGTCCCGTCACCCCGATTTAAGAAGTAGAGTTCGCCCCTCCCCTGGGGCGGCCAGGTGGGTCAGCGCGCCGGGGACTGACTGCAGCCACACCTGTTGTCCCGGAAGGAAGGGCCTCAGGGAAAGGAACGTGCATGTTCGATTAGAAAGAAAAGTCATGAGTTTCGTCGCTCGAAAGGGCAGTTAAGAACGCACCGGTCTTTGAACTGTCGGTCCTCGGGGTCGCCGGACAGCACGGCGGGACCCCGAAACACGGTGTGTAACCTGGGCCTTTTCAGCGCCTCCTGTCACTCTGACCGTCTCCTGGCGTGGGCACGCAGCGCAGCGGTCACCCTGCTGTCCTCGGCCAGCCCTGTTGGTCCCGGCCCAGGGTGCCGGCTGCTCTCGAGGCCAGTGTCACTGTCACGCTTTCCTCCGTCCCGTCCCCTGTGTGTCGTGTCGGCTTTCGAACACCACATGCAGGTTGAGTTGTGTCAGGCGATTCCTCACGCCCGATTTGGAAGGCAGAGCCAACTGGTTTTTGTCCCCGAGGTTGATGGGTGTCAGTTTTGGCCACCGATGCTCCGTGCCCTTGGACTAGCCAGCGGTCACTGATGCGCAGGAAGAGTTGGCAGTGTCCTCGAAATACAGAATCACTTTGTCCCCGGCCTGCTGAAGGCCAGGGGTGCGCCTGGGCAGGAAGGGGCGGGGTGTGCGTGAGGGTGTCTGCCGGTGGTGGCTTTCTCTGGGTGCTGGCAGGGAAGGCAATCTTTGTCGTGCATTGTGCGTTTCTGAAGACTGGATTTTCGGTTTTCATTTCCCTAAGTACTGGGCGGGGAGCCAAGCAGAGTGAGCCGGGCGTCGGGCAGCGGCCTTCCCGTGCCCAGCTCTGCACAGCGCCGGCCGCGCGCGGGGCCTGCCGGGGAAGCCGCTGCCTCCTGGGACTGTGGAGCAGTGACCTGTCTGGAGCGGCAACACCTGGGCTAACGGTTTCCCTAGTAATCGCGCGGATGACTCAGTTTCTGAGTCAGGGCACACACAGGGAGCCGTCCTCAAGCGCACCCCGAGGACCGTTTAACACCTGCGGATGCACACGCTCTAATCCCCGTCCTGGGAGGGGCAGGACTCGTCGTCTCTGCGGGCGTGTGAATGCTCGGCGGGCAGACCTCGGCTCTTGCAAAGCCGGTGTAGCCAGTAGCTTCTCACGCTGCCCTACGGCCTCATGGTGCCTGCGTCACAACATGTCTGCAGGAGCCAGCGTCTCCCCCCACGCTGTGGTCGCCCCCATCGGCCACATGGGCAGCTAGGGCGCCCCCTCTGCAGACCACCGGGGTGCAGCCTGCGACCCCTGAGCACAGGGGCACCTGTCCGCGGGCCTGCGTTAACATGCCACGTGTGAGTTGGGTCTTTTCCAAAGACCGGCCCCTTTAATTTAAGGATATTCTCATATCAAGGAGACAGTGTCTCAGTTATTTCTAAGTTTGTGTTTTTGTAAGGGAAGTTTTTATTTCTAATTCTGACTAAATCACAGAGTCATCAAGAAAAGAGGGGAGAGGTATAAAAAGCATTACTCACATATGTAACATTTTAACAGAAATCGGGACGAGACCTCACCCAGTCTGTATGTTTTTCGGTGACTGCTTCCTCGCGAGCATTTGCTTACGAAATTCGCTTCGACACGTCACTCTGAGAAGCTCCGTCACAGTCGGGCCCGGGCGCCTGGTGCCCGCGGTCCTTTCCCTTGTGTGCGTGTGTAGGCTGCCCCTTCCGGTTGTCACTCTGGCAGGTGACGTGGCGTGACGGCTGTCCTGCGTACGCATGCCGGTCACCTCGCTAGCTCGTGACGAGTTAACACATGGATTTAAAGTCACACAAAGGCCGTGGCGCGGCTGTGCCGTGCAGCCGCCACGCGGAAGAGGTGCCCCGACGTGTCCCCACCCCCGGGGTGCGTCCTGCGGGAGTGTCTCGGGAGCTGTGTGTCCCACGGTGCGCCGGGGACACGGAGACCTCCCAGGAGCGGCCGCGCCTCACGAGCCGGTTCCCTGTGCCCATGCAGCGGACTGCCGAGACGACATGACGTGCGTGCAGGAGGAGATCTTCGGGCCGGTCATGTCCATCCTGTCCTTCGACACCGAAGCCGAGGTCCTGGAGAGAGCCAACGCCACCCCGTTCGGGCTGGCCTCCGGCGTCTTCACCAGGTACGTGGGGGCGGCCCCCACGGGCTCGGGCCCGGAGGGGGCGGGGTCGGGGACACAGGCCCCGCCCCCCTGGCTGCCTGTGCATCGGTGCCCCCCGTGAGGGTGGGAGGTGCCCCAGTCGCCGTGTGTGTCCTCGGCCCGGATGGCCAGAGAGCCTGGCCGCTGAGCTGATGGTGGAGATTCTCTCCCTTTTCGTTGGTTTACTGAGGAAACGTGTAAGGGGCTGGCCTCTAAAGCGTGAGAAACTGCGTGTGCAGGGTCAGAAACCCAGCGTGTGAGCGGAGGGCAGGGTCCTCCGGAACGTGAGTTCGGGCGGCTGTGCGCCGCCCTCGGGGCCCGCGTTGTCCTGCGGGAGACGCTTTGTCTGTTGCCGCCCAGTGACGGTGTTTCCGGTGTTGATCTTGTGGTTGACACCTCCCTATACAGACTGCTACCGCGGTAATAGAGGCAAAACGGGACTCGGAGCGGCGCGTCTCTGAGACGGCCGCCAGGTGTCCGATGGTGTGCACACGGGGACCAGCCCGGGGCTGTCACGGTCAGCCATCTGGGGCTGCCGTGCCCTGGGGTTTCGCCATTTCTTTGGTGGTAACCAAGGTTACATCTTTTTTTTCCTTTTTTAAAAGTATTTTATGTATTTATTTTTAGAGAGAGGGGAAGAGAAGGAAGAGAGGGAGAGAAACATCAGTGTGTTGTTGCCTCTCGCGTACCCCCTACTGGGGACCTGGCCCGCAACCCAGGCGTGTGCCCCAACTGGGAATCGAACCCGCAACCCTTTGGTTCACAAGCCTGTGCTCAATGCATTGAGCTACACCGGCCAGGCCAAGGTTACATCTTTTTGTAGCTTTGCTGTCCAGAACCTGGAGGGGAGACCCGAGTCTCCCTGGGGGCCCTGATGGAGTAGCTTCTCTGTGAGCGCTGGAGGAAAGATCGAGGGGCTGCTGCTTTAAAAGGAAAAAATTATCTTCTACAATTTTAGGGTCAGCACAAAATTGAGCAGGAGGTACAGAGCTCTCCCACCCACCGGGCCACGCCCGCCTCGTGCCGCCTCCTTTGTTATCAGCGTCCCCGCAGACGGGCCGTTTGTCACAATCGATGGCCCTGCACGAACCCATCGCCCTTGCCCCACGGCTGCCGTGCACACCGGGGCTCACTCGGTGCCGTGCAGCCTGTGGCTCGGGCAGGCGTGTGGGGGACCAGGGCCCATTTGGGGGCCACACAGAGCGGAGGCCCCACCCTGCCAGCCCCTGGGAGAGGCGGCTCGGTGGTGCGGGGGTCCGGCGGGCTAAGCCTCGGCTGACACTTTCCTGCCAGGACACGGGCACCATTGGCCACAGAGGAGGGCGCCCCTGAGCCGTTCCTGCTCTGACCCCGCTGCTGGGCAGTTCACACACGGACGGACCCTCCCCCAGTCCCGGTGTGCAATCCACGGCGTGCAGTGTGTTCATGGTTGTGCAACCCTCCGCACACCCTGAGGTTATTAGCACGTTCTCCCCGGTCCGAGGACACCGAGTCAGTCCTCGCTGGCCCCGCCCCCAGCCCCGGGCAGCCTCCGCTCCTCGAGCGCTGTCTCCGCGGATCCGCTTACTCTGAACGTTCTGTGTGCGTGGCCGATGCACTGCGCAACCTTCCGGGTCTGGCGTCCTTCACTGAGCACGAGTTCGGGGCTCGCTCACGTTGGAGGGTGTGCCACTCACGCTCTGCTCCCCAGTGACGGTCCAGTGCGTGTTCGTGCCGCGCCTCCGTCACGCTGGCGGGCACGAGGGCTGTCTCTGCCTGTCGGCCGTCATGCATGACTAGGCGTGCGCCAGGCTCCGTGTGGGAGCTGAGCGCCTGCTCCCTGTCCTTGGGGCAGCGAGAGGAGCTGACCGAGCTGCGTCCTCCCCCCCCCCCCAGGGACGTCCAGCGCGCCCACCGCGTGGCGGCCGAGCTGCAGGCCGGAGTCTGCTACGTCAACAACTACAACGTCAGCCCCGTGGAGCTGCCCTTCGGCGGGTACAAGAAGTCAGGTGAGGGGCCGGCCGGGTCTCTGGGGACACGGGGTGTCCTTCCCTCCTCGTCGGCCGGGGTGTGTCGCCCAGCCCCAGGGGGCACGTGCGGTCCCCTCGTCCTCCCCCGAGCCCTGTGTGGTGGGGGGGTGGGGGTGTCGCCGGCTAACACAATCTCACAGAGGCCTGTCCCGTGGACCGAGTCACTGCTCTCCGCAGTCTGTGGTCACCGTGGGAACAAACCCACTGCCGGAGGCCCCGTCCCAGCAGCCCTGGTCGCCGACCGCCCTGGGCCTGCAGATTCCGTGTAGGGGCCGTGTCTCTAGTGCCTCAGAAAGCACGTGTGAATTTGTCTTCTCCGTTATGACAGATTGGTGACAGTCCCTTAACCCAGCTCCCAGCCATCGGTTACTGTCCTTGTCATACCAGGCGGCCTGGGAATGCCGTCCCTAAGCCACCGCCGGTTCCTTCCATGTCTTCAGCGATCGGCTGGGCCTGTCGCCTTGATGTGGCCCGTCTGTGCCTCAGGGGCGGTCGGGGCAGCAGGCCCGTCACCAGCCCTCCGAGGGCCCCCCTCTGGCCAGGGCTGCCTGTCACCGTTGGCTGGCGTCTCGAACGCTTCTTGTCAACGCTGGCGTGGACTCCAGTCCGTGCCCTCGTCTGCTGGCACGTATTCGTGGCCGCCGGTGTCGGCCCACGTGGAAGCCCCGTGGCAGCCGACCTGGCTGGGCGCTGCTCTGGCCGTTCGGTTGGGTCTGGTCCCCGAGCACGGCCCCCCGATCGTCCTCGTCCCCGTGGGGCCGATGCGGAGCAGGACCAGAGTGCACTTTCGTTCTCACATCACCCCTGGGCCAGGGAGAAGTTTGTTTGGAATCTGCAGAGTGGCCTCACGGGGCCCCCAGGCCGCCTCTCCCTTCCCCGGGTCTGAGTGCCCTGAGTGTCCGGTGCAGCGCCCACGGGTGTGCCCACTTGGGGTGAGAGCAGACACGGGGAGCCCAGCCAGCTCCGCCCCCAGGACTCACACAGAGCCTGGGCCGGACCTCTGTCACCTGGGAGCGGTGCGCCCCGGGAACGTGCACCGTGGGGACCGGGCTGCCCCCCGGGCTGGGGCAGGGGCACAGGAAGGGCCCAGCAGGGGACGCTGCCCCTCCAGCATGGAGCCTCCGGCACGGCCGCGGGGCAGCCGCTCGGCTTTGCAGGACGGGGGGTCGCTTTTCTGTGGGTCGCTTTCCCACACCTTGCCCCGCAGCTGGTGGTCGCCCCGCAGCTGATGCGTCAAGTGAGGCCTCGACCTCCTGCTTGTCGGCCCTGGGTCCTCCCGCGGCCCGGGGGGCAGCGCCCGCCTCTGCAGGTCGCTGCGGCTTCCCCACCGGCCGCGGCACCGGCTCACCCTCCCCCTCGTCTGCCCCCAGGGTTCGGCAGAGAGAACGGCCGGGTCACGATGGAGTACTACTCCCAGCTGAAGACCGTGTGCATGGAGATGGGCGACGTGCAGTCCGTTTTCTGAGCGCGGCCCTGAGGGCTGGGGACGCGCAGAGCGCGAATGCCGCCCGGCGTCCCCCCGTCACTCAGCTGTGCCCCCGTCACTCGGCCGTCCCCCCGACGGAAAGTGTGCAGAAGTGCCTTAGATTCTAATCAAGAGAGCCATGATGTCCTGCAGTTCGAGTTTCCCTGTGACCCTGAGCAGCAGTAACACACATCCGGGTTGGGCGGACTCTGCCCCGCCCCCAGACCCGCCCCTGCCCGCCCCCTGCCCGTCCCCTGCATGCTCCGTCCTCTCTCTAGCTTCCTGCAACCAACCGCCTCCTTTCCGGTGCCTGGTGGACCCTGGACAGAGGGCTCGCTGACGTGTTCTCAGCTCCCGCCCCTTGTCACTCGGGGGGCCGGGCACTGGATGAGCCCCTCCAGGGGAGCGCTGACTTGCCAGAGGAAGCGCCGCGTTCCCCCGGGGCTGCGTCTTGGGCCTTCAGCTTGCTCTCCTGTGTCCCAGCAGTTCCCTGTTAAATGGTCAGGTTATTTCTGCCACTGCGCTGTGCCGGAGTTCAATAAATCACATGCTAATCCGTTCAGTTTCATGTTTCGAAACCAAGCGTCTTTCAAGGTTTGGGGGAAAGAAAGATTTTATTTATATTTAGACAGAAAGGGAGGTAGAGACAGAGGGAGAGAAACATCAGTGTGTGGTTGCCTCTCACACGCCTCTAGCTGGGGACCTGGCCCACAACCCAGGCATGTGCCCTGACTGGGAATCGAACCCGTGGCCCCTCCGTTCTCAGGCCAGTGCTCAGTCCACTGGGCCACCCCAGCCGGGGCTGACAGGTGAGTCTTGTGCACGGCAGTCTGTCAGGCTGGTGCAGCGTGGTCCCCGGCATTGGCCGCATGTTAGCGTCACCCAGAGCAGCTTTGCACATGCTGAGATTCTGTCTGATTTCCTCGGTCCGTGGCAGCGGGCGTCTCCAAGGGCGCTGCCCAGGTGAATCTGGTGGACGGCCCGGGCGGAGAACACTGCTTTGGGGCCGTGCCACGTCCAGCAGCCACGAGCCACATGCAGCCGCTGCTGAAAACTCGGTTCGTTACAGTCAAATACAAGTTCAGCTCGTCCGTCATTCCAGCCTCGTTGCAAGCGCGCAGTGCTGAGCACAACAGTGGCGCCGGGGTCGGACAACGCGGGTGTAGGGTGCACTTGGCCCTCGAAGGCAAAGGGGTGCCCACCGGGTGCTTTGGAAAATCGGCTGTAACTTCTGACTCCGCCCTGGGCCCTGGGAAGCCGTGCGCTCGGCCAGCCGTGGATTGAAAACGGCACTTTCCGTCCGCGGTCGGGAATGGGCGGCTGAGAACGCGAAGATCCGGTTCTCCGGCCTGGGTGGCTGCAGCGGCAGGTACGCCACCCGCGGATGCGCAGGGACATTTGTCGACGGCAAACTCGACTGTAAGTGCCCCGTGCGGTTCTGCCCTGCGGTGCCGCGGGGTGAGCTGTGTTTCCAGTGTCAGGACCCTCGAAGGGCGCGCTGGCCAAGGGGGGAGGGACAGAGACTGCACAGTGACAGTGCAGGGAGGGGGCAGGCCCGGGTCCTGGGGACCCTAGAGAACCACCTGGCTGTCCGCTGCTGGTGCCGTTTCTCCAGCAGGTGGCGCCCGAGTCCACCCGGCACCTTGTGTTGGGACTCTGCGGCCTCCAGGACTTCAGAGGGGAGTGCCGCCCCGCCCCGCCCCGCCCCGCCCCACCCCACCCCACCTCTCTGCTCGGCGCCGCTGGGCACAGCCCCCCACGGTCCTCTAACGACCCCTAGGAGAGCTCAGCTCACATCTTTCCGTGACATAAACTGAGTCCATGCACACGGCCATGGTAGCAGAGTGGCGGGGCTCCTTAGGCTGGTTCTCGGTCCGCCAGGCAAGGGAGCCGAGCAGAGACCCCAGGGCAGACAGGGTCGCTCTGCAGCGCCACCTGCAGACTGGACTGCGTCCAGCTGAGGGGGCCGGGAGCTGAACCGACTCCCACCCCGGGTCCCCGTGCCAGTCCCAGCGCCCTCCTCCGACGGGCTGGGGCTCCTGCAAACGGCATGTGAGCCCAGGCTGTGGCCAAGTGACGGAGAGGACGGACTGCTCTGAAGGCACGCCCTGTTGAGGTTGCAGAGGTGAAAACCCACCTGTCCCCAGGTGGCCTGCCTGCCTCACTGCCACCTGCACCCAATGTGATGGGAAGGGGCCTCCACAGGTGTTCCCGTCCCTCCGGGTGTGTTTGCTACCTGACAAAACCCAGACATACAGAAACACGCCCCCCCCACCCCCAGCTCAGTGCACGTTCTTCCTTATGTTACTTTGCAGCGTCAGGACCCAACCCCCTGCCTTCACCGTCACCTCCTTTCTTAGGGGTCATCACAAAGTACAGGGTACACGTCACAGCCTTACGGAAACCACCTCATGTCCAGGCGCTCCTCACTGCTGAGAACAACTCACAGACTGACTCACCCTGGGGAGTGGGCAGGCCTAGTCCAACCTCACCGGGGGCCCCGGGTGGCCCCGGGTGGCCCTGTGGCCAAGGCTGACCCTCCTGGGCAGACCAGAGCACACTCCCCCCAGATGCCTCCTGTCCTCCAAGGGACAGAGGGCACGAGAGAAAACGCATGGATGTCAGACTCAGGCCTGGGGTCCCTCCTGTCTCGGATGCTCACAGCTACTGAGCACGTGAAATGCAGCAAAAGCACCTGAAGACCTCATCTTGTTACGTTATCCATTGCAGCGCAGACAGCCCCATGCGGTGGGGGCTCCCACACTGCACAGCACAGGGGGCCTTCGGATCCGTCAGTGCCGCTTGCGGCCACTTCCGTGTGTGGAGCCGCCCCCCCCCCCCCCGTCCCTCCGCGCCTGCCCCCGAGTGCTCCAGAACCAGTACGTCCTCACGTGTAGTTGCTATGTGTCTCCGCGCCCATTTGCACAATCTGGTCTTTGCACCCAAACGTGGGCGATTCCGTTCATCTCTGTGGAGTTTCATCTCCTCCTCCAATTTAACCCCTGAGTTCAGTTGTTAGGCAGGAGAAGCCATCTCCCACAGTGATTTTAAAAAAAGATTTTATTCAATTTTAGAGAGAAGGGAAGGGAGGGAGAGAAACATCCGATGCGTGACAGACACATCAGTCGGCTGCCTCTTACGTGTCTCTAACTGGGGACCCGGCCCAAAACCCAGGCATGTGCCCCAACCGGGAATCGAACCAGTGACCTTTCAGTTCGCAGGCTAGCACTCAATCCACTGAGCCACGCCAGCCAGCGCGCAGCAGCGATTCTTAAAACCCTTCTTTATCATCCTGTGTATCAGCCATCGTGGGTCCTAACTAGAACTGGCCCTTTCTTCCTCCAGCCCAGCGTTCCGCAGCTGTGGAAAGTGCCGTGACCGTGAACCTGTCACCACTGTTAGACATCTCCTGGCCTCCAGTATGGAGTCGGCACTGGCCGGCCAGTGTGCCCCACCCCCTCGGCCCCGGTTACCGCCTGGGTACGGGCCCTCAACAGGCAATAATCGTAGAGTCGGGGTTACGTACGAGGCTGATGCCAGATAAACTTTATTATATTTAGAAAATAAAAAGGAACTGGAAATAAAAGTCAGTCACTCACAACGGAGGAGCGTGTTGACCGCCCCGCCCCCACCCCCAACGCCCCCTAGTGGCAGCACTTGGACCCCCCGCCCAGGCCGCCGGCTTTCACCCAGCCCAGGTGCTGGAAGGCGGAGCACACGGTCATGCCCATCAGGCCGATGAGGGCGATGGAGCCCAGGGCGCCCCTGCTCCGCTTGCTGGGTTCTGGAAGAGAAGGGAAGGCCGAGGTTACGTGGAGGCTCCGGGGGCGCCGCCGCCTTCGGGGTCCATGGAGCGTCCCCTCAGGGAGTCGGCCGGGGCCCCAGACCGTCTGGTCAACCCACTTTCCGCAAAGTAACGTGTCACAACAGGGTGGCTTGGTCCTTAGAAGGATGTCGGGGTAACACCTGCAGCCGCATTGAACCGGGACCTGGGCAGTGCCCCCCTGCTTCTCCGAAGATGCAAGCATGGCCAGAAACGTTGGGGGCGCGGAGTGGGCCCCCAAGGCAGACCGTCTGCCTCCACCCACAGCGCCCACATGGCGGCTCCGGGTCCTAGGCAGAGGCCCGATCTTTCTCTTTTCTTTAAAAGACTTTATTTATGTACTTGTAGAGAGGGGGGAAGGGAGGGAGAGAGGGACAGGAGTTGCCTCTCACACGCCCCCAACTGGGAACCCGGCCCACAACCCAGGCACGTGCCCTGACTGGGAATTGAACTGGCGGCACTCAGTCCACTGAGCCACACAAGCCAGGGCTACAGCCTTCCTCTTTCTAAGCCTCAGTTTCCCCATCTGTAAAATAGGGGAGTATCATCTACATCGCCGAATTGTTGGAAGGCAAAGTTCTTAGAACAGCAACCGACACACACAAAATGCTCAGTGAAAGCAGTAAGTTCTGTTCCCATTCACGGGTTAGTAAAAACAAGGTAACGGGCCTTTCACCCAGACACCAGGTCACACCCCGGTCCTTAGAGCCCAGACAGGACGGAAACACAGCAGCGCCAGGGCCCCGTCTGCCTCCCCGGGCGGGTCTGCCCCACTCACCTCCCGTGTAGTAGCCGTAGGCGTAAAGGACGCGTCCGACGATCCAGGCCAGGCCCAGGCCCGAGGCTACTCTCTAGAGAAAAGGGAGGGGGGGCGGGTGACGTGAGTGTCGGCGTTCACGGAACTGGCAGAGCTGCAGGAAGATTTAGGGCTGACTGCGCAGCGCTGTAGCCAAAGCCTGTCTTTCCTCTCCCTGGGGCCGGGGGTCCCCGCTCTGGTGGGTCGTGAACTAGACATAAATGTGGCTTCCGGCAGCTGGTGCCAACCGGGGACTCCGCAGGCTCAGTTCCGGGAGTGGGGACACCGGACATCTGGTCAGAGCTCGGTCAAGGGGAGACACCTTCTGTCCAGGGCAGGACCCCGAAGGCGAGTAAGCGGTGCTGCCGGCCAGCCCCAAGGCCTGCCCCACCTCCAACAGACGCATCACGCACGCAGGTGCCTACGAGTCAGTCCCCGAAGCCGGCTGCCTGCCTGGTCGGTTCACCTGGGGCACCTCAGGGCACCAGTAACTGTGTGTCGCTCAAAAGAACGAATACGCAACAGAAAACACTGATGGACACAAGCCTTCTAGAGTCAGACCCGGGTTCAAATTCTGACTCTCCCACCCTGTAGCCCTGTGACCTTGAGAAACTTACAATGTCCACCATGTTTCCCCTTATCTGCACAAAAACGGGACAGTCTGCCCACTTTAAAGAACTCGGTAAGGAGTAACTGAATGAAATCTTTTAAACGCAGGGTGCCAGGCGGAAACCCGTCGTACCCCAGACGAAAGCAAGCGCCGGACTCACTCACCGGGTGGTACACGCCGCCCACGGCCAGGAAGAACAAGAAGGGAGGGTAGACTTCCAGCCTGCGAGAGATGGAAGGGCACTCGTTGAACCAGGGCCCCTGTGAGTGTGGTTACGTAGCACGGGGAGCCCTTTACTCTACTCGCCGAGTTCGACGCCTGAGAGGGAAATGGACCCCCGTCCGAGGGGGAAGGGCAGAGCCCTGGCCCGCCTCTGGGACCAGCAGTGGCTGAGAAACCGGAGTGGGAGCCCGCCCCTCTAACGGGCTGATGAGGACGGCCTTGTGACTCGGGTGGGCTTCCTTACCGAGCTCGGGGCCCCTCCCTCCCTCCCTGGGGCAGGGAGACTCGTGGTCACTTTAGGTGGGACGTGCTGCGTGCCCAAAGAGATCAGTGCTAGGGACAGTCCTGAAAAGATTACCCAGCATCCCACTGTTCTAACACTCTTCACTTACAAGTTTTCTCTTAAAGATTTTATTTTATTTATTTTTAGAGAGAGAGGAAGGGAGGGAGAAAGAGAAGGAAAGAAACAGCAATGTGTGGCTGCCTCTCATGCGCCCCCTACTGGGGACCTGTCACACAACGCAGGCCTGTGCCCTGACTGGGAATCGAACTGGCAACCCTTTGGTCCACAGGCTGGCACTCAATCCACTGAGCCACAGCAGCCAGGGGCACTTATGGGTTTTTTTTAAGGATACTTTTAATGATCGCCACCCTCACTAAGAGAAGTAGGGCACTAACGGCCGGGGGTGGACAGAGGCACCCCCCCGCCCCCCCGCACAAGGGTGTGGGTGCCCCAGGGCCCACTCACGTGTTCTGGTGGGCTCGCTGGATGCAGTTGAAGAGGTGTCCGTGCTCCGGGTCCGAGCTGTACATGGTGGGGTACTGCAGGCACAGGCACAGAGGGCGCGCAGGTCAGACGCCGGGACAGGCGGCCACCAACCAGAAGCTGCTCCGCCCCATGCATCTCCCCCCAGACCCCCGATATCTGATCAGTGTCCTCTCGGTGTTGGCAGTGACCGGGCCGGGTCCCAGAGGCCGGTCTGACCGGGCCCGTCCACCCCAGTCACGAGGGACGGAGGCAGCCTGCGCAAAGACTTCACTGCGGGGCTTCTCACGCATCCCAAAGGCAACCCGGGGAAGCAGCTCCTGCCCGGAGGCACCAGACACCCCGACCTTGCGAGAGGCGCCTTCGTGGGGGGCAGACACTGAGCGCGTGAGAGTTTTAATGGATGTGTCCGTTAAAAATAATAATAATAAAAAACCCCAAGAAACTAGGCATGAAGACATTAAAAGCAGCTCTGGTTGGGGAGTGGAATCGGAAGCTGCTAAACAGAAACGGACACCTGGATGTCTCGCCGGGGACAGCCTCAGTGGCCGCCCCCCCGGCCCGGCCGAGACTGACGGACACATCCGAGGCCGCCTCCCTGCGCCCGGCGCCCCGGCCCAGGCTCACGGCAGCACCGCACACTTGCTGCCTGGGGGGACACGGGACGGCACCAGAGGCAGCCACACCAGGGAACAACGTGGCCGTGGAACCCTCGTTAGGAAAAGACACCCTTCCTGGCAGAGAGCTCCGGCCGAAGGCAGACTGGTGGTCTCCTGCCAGCCCACCGGCCTTTCTGCAGGAGAGCCGGAGTGAAGCCAGGAAGGGAACCCTCACCCCCGCCCCCAGCAGGGTCTCCGTATTCTCGCCGTCTTCCTGCCAGAAAGAGGCGGGCGGCATTTCCGACAGGTGCCCCTGCGGACCCTAGCTAGCCTCACCTGTCCCTCCGGGCCGGGAGACAAGCTCTCCCCAGGGCGAGCCCGCCACAGCGCCAGCGCGCCCCCACTCACCTCCACCTTGTACTTCTTGCGCGCCTTGGCGACGTTGACCGCCAGGTGGGCGACCATCATGAAGCTGGCGGCCCCGGTGAGAATCACGAACCCGTACTCCTTGGAGAGGACGGCCATCGCGGCTCTGGGGGACAAAGCGCAGGTGAGGCAGGCCGGCGGCAGGTGCGGCTGGGGCGTGCGCACATCTGCAGGTCAGAGAGAGGCAGGTGAGCGATGCCTCGAAGAGGTGGCGGGAGGTGCTGCGGATGTCACGAGACAGAGATTAGAGATCACCCGAAGATGCAGCGTTCGTTCACAGAAGGTTCGCGATCTCACTGCCTGCTCCCTTTGGTGCCCGGGTGCTTTGGGTCGGCACGGCATTACCGAGATGTTTCTGATTTCTGAGCTGCTCTCGAGGGGCGTCCACGCGGCCCCCATCTCCGGGGTCGGGACACAGGGGAGAGGGCCGACCCCAGCCTCAGCCCTGGTGTCACCTGCTGGCCCCGTCTCCCGGCCATCCTGTGTGGCCGCAGAGGGCGAGGGGAGAGGGTACTCTCGGAGCTGGCATGCTCCCCGCTCTCTTCTGGGTGAGCCACTTGTAGGGTGCAGAAAGTGGGACGGGAACAGGAGTGCGGGCTGCGTGCTGAACGCCTTTGAAGATGAGTGACCGAGCTTTCCGAGCCGCCGGACGTCCTCGGAATTTGGCACCACCTCTGCGCCACCGGGCCAATTCGAATGAAGCTGTCCCTCGCTCTGTGACAAGCTGCCCGGTGAAGGACAGTACCACCAAGCACAGTTGGTTCGGGTCCCAGTTTCCAAGCTGAGAGCCAGCTTCCAGAACCAAGTGTCTGCACGGGGTGCCGGGCTGGCGGGCTGGCGGCGTGGGGACGTCCGCCTGGTGTTTGCCTGGCACTCCCCAGCCCCGCTCGCTGGCGCCCTCCCCACACACCCCACCAGCGCCACCTGTTACACGGGGAAATGGAAGCGCAGCGAGGGGAGCGCAGAGGTGAGACCAGGGCGCGTTTTAGGGTGCTTCCCCCAATCCAACGGGCCCAGGCAAGCTGGTAGCATTTGGTGGCTTAGTCCTTGGCCTCTGCTCTTCCGATGTGAAGGGCTGGGGGTGGGAGAAGCCTGGTGGCAGGACCGAGTGCCTCCCCATCAGGTGTTTCTACTGCAGGCCACGAACCCTCGGGAGCAAGCACCCAGAGACCTGCAGCTAGAATGCCGGGGGGAGTGGGGAGGGCGTGCGACTCCGCTCTTCTTCCAAAGCAGAAACGTGGTCCGGGAGGTTAGACCCAGCGACCGCCCCTCTCCCTGCACCTTGCTGGGGTGACACAGGACGGTTTGCAAAGGACTGCATTGCCCTTGGGGGGACTCGGAGCAGGGAAAGGAGACAGCCCATCTCCCCAAGGCTCCCGTGCAGCAGCCACAGACCCAGCTGCACAGGGGCAGGGGCAAAGCGCCCCCAGCCGCTCCGATGCCTCCTTGCACCCCCTGCTGGCGGGGGGGGGAGGTGTCCTGCTCCACAGATCACGTGCCGACACGGAGCCACGCTCTCTCTGCAGGGCTGCAGCGGAGCTCCCGCGGGCGGGGCGTGTTGTCGGGCACCCTCTGTGCCGAGCACGGGGGGTGGGGGGGGCGGGGGCTGTGCTTATAGAGGCCCACGGAACCCCCAGAGCGACCTGGCATTCCAGGCGGCTCTCAGGAACGACCCCCCCGCAACTGCGGTGATGCCCGTGGTTGCCCGGCAGTGCTTGGAACTCAGGAGGATGCACCCCACCTCCTGAAGCCCCTTCTGTTCCCCTCGGAAGCCCCCGTGGAAACAGCGGGAGCGCCCGCGGCCGCACGGCTTGGAGGGGGGAGGTCAGAACCCAGAGAAGCTGCTGGACACAGAGGTCTGGCAGGGACCAAAAGCAGGTGAGGTGTGTCCTTGGGGGAAACGGTCAACCTAATTCGCTGAGGGGTCAGAACACCTTTATCTAGAGAATCCCTTTTTCCTGAGAGCCGGGGGGGGGGCGGGGGGGGGGCGGGGGGGGGGCACAGGGAGGGACTTCCCAGGCCGCAGAGACTGGCCCCTGTAGCTCAGCCCGGGAGCAGGCCCAGGGGACTGCTGGCTCTGTGCACAGAGCCACGCCCAGCAGGCACAGCCGCGCCCCAGCTCCGCCCACCCGCAGCCCGCAGATAGCTCCCGGGCTCTGGCTCCAGAGGCTGATAAGTGGCCCGTGCCTGTCTCGGGCATGCACACTCCAGTGGGTGGGGGCACTCCCCGCCCTGTCCCCTGCGGCCGTTTCACCTGCCCCCAGATAAGGTGCTGGGGGCTCCACCCCGACTGTCTTCTATGCGGTGCTGAGACGCAGCCAGGGCCAGGAGCCCCGAGAGGGCTCAGCGTGCAGCGCGGTGCGGACTCTTGCCCCCCAACACCCTGCCCGCTTATTTGTGAACCGCAGCGCTGCACCCCAGGTCACACGGTGAAGCCACGGTCTGCACAGACACAGGTGTATCTAGGGGCGTACGGGGTGGGGCAGAGGCAGGTTTGCTCACACGAAAAGTCATACGAGAATAAGTAATACAAGAGCCAACGCCATGTTTCCCGTACTCACGGCCACCCCCTGCTTGCTTTTGTCCCGCCCAGTGTGTGGCCCCGCTCAGTCTGTGCGGGTGCACTCTGCAGGGGGCGGGGGGGAAGCAGGACAGCCCGGCAGGGGGCCGGTCCCAGGCCTGAAGCTGTTCCTCCCTCCCAGCTGGTTGTCCCACCGGGGATGCAGCTGGTTCAAGGACCTTCACCCCGGCACTATTTACTATCGCGGACGCAGAAACAGTACCGACACCCAAGCACAAAGGACTAGGCGATGCCAGGAGGCGAGCGCTGAACGTGTCCAAACGGCTACCTGACCGCGCGCGCGAGGTGCAGAGGAACCTGCGTGCGTCTGTGCTACAGTCTTGGTTTTCTCAACGACGGAAAACAGTTGAAGAAGAAAAGAGGAAAGGCATAGCCTACTTATTTCTAGATGGCTGAATTATGGATTTTTTCTTTGCACTCGCCTATGGTTTCCAAAAGGAGCCAACATCTACCCCAAAAGTTACATAAAGACGGCCTGGCCGTAGTCGGCGGGGAGGAGACGGGAGCAGGCCGCGGGGGTGGACGGCGCCGGGCTCGGGTCCCGTGGATGTGAGGAGCAGGGGGAGGCGGGGTCTGCACCCCCACGCAGTGCCCGACACCCCATGGGCGCTCACCCGCACTACACACCGGGTTATGGGTCATGTTCTGTGCACCGACGCTCTGTCGGCTGGGGCTTGGCCCCGATTGGGTTACGAAAGGGGACGTTTGAATAAATGGGTGATAATGGGTGTGCGTTCCAGCATTCGTCATTTAGAACTGCTATTTTAAACGGGCAAACGAAGCTTAGAGCTGTGTGGGTTCCCCCCCTTTTCTGAGCTCGAGCAGCCAGCAGCCGCGTCCACGTCCACCGTGGAACCATCTGAAAGCAGGGTACCAGTGCCGACTCGGGGGAAAAGCAAAATGTATCCATTCCGCCAGCCCCTGGCAGGGACAGGTGTGTGTGTGCACATCCACCTGTCCTCGTTTCCCTGTGCCTACTGTGTGCCTGCTGTGTGCCTACTGTGTGCCGCTCCCTGGGCCGGGGCTGCAGGCGAGGGGGGTGGCAGCTGGACTCGGCCCCTGCCCTCATGAGGCTCGTTTCCGGTGGGGGGGCGGGCAGAAAGTCAGCCAGCAGGCCGCCAGTTGCAGATTTCCCCCTCACCGCGTGGTCAGCAGCTGGGCACGAAAGTCCCCCCCAGAAACGGACCCGCCCGGGCTGGGGGAGGACAGGTGGCATGTCAGAGGTGGCGTGGGCTTCGCACCCGCGGATTCCTGGAGGTCTGGAGACGGGTCAAAACCGCGCACTGGAGAGAAGAGGACATCGAAGGGTTAAGGGAACCTGAATCATTCTAACCAGTTTTTTTCTTTCCAATCCTCACCTGGGGACATGTCTTTAAATTGATCTTAGAGAGGGAGGAAGGGAGGGAGGGAGGGAGGGAAGAGAGAGAGAGAGAGAGAGAAACGTGAATCAGTTGCCTCCCACACGTGCCTCAGCGGGGGTCAAACCTGCAGCCGCCTGCAGCCTTCTGGTTCCTGACGGAGCCCAAGCTCCGGAGCAGCCCGGCCGGCCCGGGAGTTCTTCCTGGGCAGCCAGACACCCTCAGTCACTGAGTCGAGAGCAGGGACGCCCTGGGGCACTGGATGTCCTCACTCCCCGAGGACTGGAGTCCCGTGGCTGACGCGCCCGCGCTCTCCGGCGGGGAAAGTGGCGGGAGCCGAGACAGCGGGAGTTCTGAGCCGGCCCTGCGTCCACACACGGCCTGCACGCCGGGGGAAGCCACCGAGGTTCTCGGCAAACGGGAGACCGCGGACCGTGACCGCTGCCGGGCGGCTGGAGGACTCAGTGACGCAAACTAGGCACGAATGCAGACGCTGTGAACCGGGCTGAGGGCACACACGTGTGTCTGCCCGTGTGGGACGTGCGTCCTGGGTCAGGAGGTGCGGCGTTCTCTGCCGGTCAGCAGTGTGCTTTGGCTCGGGCATGGGTTCTGACGCTGTGCGGGATGGGTTCAGACTGCCGGAGGGCTGGTCTGCTCAGGTTTCCGGGGGCAGTGGGTTACCTGGCGTGGACAGCCTGCCGCGTCCAAGAACCCCGGATTCCTTTATTCCACCATGCTCTACGGAGCGCCTGCTCTAGGCCAGGCCCGGTACAGGCGTGGGGGACAGAGTGTGAGCAAGGTGGGGTCCCTGCCTGCAAGACACTGCCGTTCCCGAGATGACGAGAGACAGACAACAGACACGCAAACTCGCCCCGAGAGAGCGGCCTGTGCCATGGGGAGCGCCCATGGTGGCCGAGGGCAGGGCCTGGCTGCTGTCCCAGGACCGCCGTGGGCCGGCCCGCCGCGGCGGCTGCCTGGAGGAGGAAGAGACGGCCGCCCCGCATCCTGGGGAGAGATCGCTCTGACCAGAGCCACCAGTGCAAAGGCCCTGGCTGAGGGCAGCCTGGCACAGTCAAGGCCGGAAAGGCGGCCGGTGGCGTGGCTGGCCCCAGAGAGCGGTAGGAACGGCAGGACATTGGGTTAGAGGGGCCGTCCCGATCATGAGAGGGGCTTGGGGGCCATGTGATGGTCAACTGTTCTTGCTTCTCCCTCCAGGGACGCGGACGAGGGGTGCAGACCCCAGACAGAAGGGAAGGAGGAGTTCTGACACGGAAGAAGTGGCCCCCTCGGCGGAGACACGCGAGCGGACTGAGGATGCTTTGGCTTTGGTGACGGGGCCTTCGAGAGCAGCTTTTCGGGGAGGGGCACAGGTGGCAGGCAGCAGCGGGCGGAGGGGCAAGCTCGCCTCCTGCATCGGCCCACTGCCCGTCCCGTCCCTGCCTTGGGAAGCCTGCCCTCCCGACCCACCCTCACGCCACGCCTCGGCCCGCGACTGTGTGCGCCCCGGTTTCACTCCCGGTTTCAGTGGGCTGCTCCGCCTGCCCCCGGACTCCACGGGCCAGGAGACCAGAGGCGGTTGGTTCTGCAGGACGGGCCCCTCCCGACGGGCATGCCCACAGAACACCGCCTCTTGCTTCGGCTCCGCGGACCGCGGGCTCCCCACCAAACAGGTGGGTCCGACAGCCCCGGACCTTCTGGGGCTTGATCTCATCAGTCTACCCTGTGACGGCCACTCGGCTCCCGGCTCCCCCTTCACGGTCACTGTCACCCACCGGACCATGCGCCCCCGCTCGTCAAGTGAGTCACAGAGTTCAAGGCTTCTCTCCCCCCAGAAGTGAGGCTCCGTACGCCGATCATGGCCTGAGACTGCCGCCTTCGAACCGTGGGTTGGGGGCGCCTGACACTCTGGGCAATGAGCCGCATGACTTCAAATGAGGGGGCGACTTGAGGGTCCAGCGGGACCGCCAGCTCGCTCCTGGGAGTTTCCGTGGCGCTTGCCCTTCACGGGGGCGGGGTGGGGTGTGCAGATCACAGGTGCATGTCAGGAGGACGGACGTCTGTCCCTTTTAGAGGTGACCACGCTGTAGTCCAAGGGTGTTCGGCCGTGTCGTCAAACAGCCACCACTTGGCCGTAGAAAGTATTATTCAGGTTCCAGTGTTGTTTGGATCCTGACCCCTGGGGGGCTGTGAGTTCACCCCTGCACCGGGGGCGGTGGGGGTGGGGTGGGGGCGGTGGGGGGGCGCCAGGACGCTCAAGTCTGGGCGCTGCTCCCCGCTCAGCGGGCCGTCTGCACTGACTCCGCCCACACCAGGGGAGCAGACTCCCTGCTGCGTCCCCCCAGAGCACGAGTTCTGTGTCGGAGGCACTGGACACACGTGTCTGCGTGGAACCGCGTGTCTGTCCCCTGGGAAAGCGGGGGCCCTGCTCGTCGGGGACCCGGGGAGAGTGTACATCTGCAACAGGACGGAACAGGTCCCAGGTCCCTTTGCTGGCGGGACGGCACTTTCCCAGACAGACTTTTGACTCGAAAGCTCCTAACACAAAAGGGCGAGCATTCCCTTGATGTGGTGACGTCTCACCTAGACGCCCCTGGGTCACGCTGGACGCTCCGGAGCCTGGCCTCCCGGGAGGTGTGGCACCGGGGACAGGCCACAGAATACTCCCCACGGTCTGAGGGCGGCAACCTCGGAGGCCGGGAGAGGGCGGGGAGAAACCACGGGGCGCAGAAGAAAATAAAAATCTCAGCGATTCCTTCAACGGGGCTGATCTGTTCAAGTCACCGCCGGACGGACAGACAGGCCACTTACCGCCGGGGACTGCCTGCCCACCGCCCTCACCTGCCACCGGCCTCGGCGCTTCCCCCCCAGCACCAAGCCCCACGGCCCGCCCCCTACTGGGCACCGTGCTGTCCACGGAGGGGCCGTGGGGGCGCTCCTGACCGGGAAAGGAGGACGCAGACCAGCGGACGGACCGAGCACGGGGGGCGGTGAGGCAGGACGGGACAGGCTGCGGTGGAGGCTGTGCGGCACAGAGACCCTGACGCGGGAGCGAGAACTCGCGTGAGAGAGGCCACGGGCAGACGGCAGGGCAGGCGCGCGGCGTGGATGACGGAGAACGGGGGCGGCGCGTGGGGTAGGGAGCAGGCTGGGGGCAGGGCGGCCGGAGCGACCAGTTAGCTTTACCCGTGACACGCATCACCGGCACATTTACTGTGTACCGCCTGCCACCCCCTGTCCCGAGGGGCTCGCCAATCTCCACGCGGGAAGCCCCCCCGCCGAGCGGCCCTGGGAGGGGTCACGGTTTCCACTCTGCAGCGGAGGGGACGGCATCAGGGAGGGCACTCCGGCGGCCCAAGGTCACACAGCAGTCCCAGCAGCGGCCTGGACTCCCACGCCAGGCCGTCGGGGGCGGGCTGTGTGCCCTCTGTCCTGGGCAGGCGGCAGCCACCTTTGACCGCACCCGCTCTCCGGCACCCGCTCTCCGGAGCAGAATGACAGCAAGGACAGAAAGCCAATCATTAACGCCGAATCTGTGAGCGATTAAAGCCTGAGATCTTTGTCAATGGAAGAAAGAAAAACCCTTGGAAAAGGTCCAAAGAGGAACTTCAAAAAAAAAAAAATGAGTGCCGGCATCGCGGTCCGACAGCCGAGGAGAGCTCACAGGAAGGGAAGCGCGTCCTCCTGCCTCCCGGGTGCCCAGGTCTGCCAGGAGACAGGCTGCCCAGGGACGGGCACCCCGTGTTCACGGCCTGTCCCTTAACCGGCATTAGACAGGCACCGGGCACCACAGGGACACAGACCCTGACTTCCGGAAGAGGGAAAGAAGGCCTCTCAAGTGGGTCGCACTGACACCACCTGGATTTCCCGTCACGAGAAACTCGGCCGACGGCAGTCAAGTCCCAGCAGCCGCAGGGTCCCCCCCCCAGGGTGCCAGCAGGGTCCCCCCAGGGTGCCAGCCGCGGGAAGCAAGGAACCGCCGGGCCGCCGGCTCGCGCCCAGGACAGGAGCCTGCCGTGCCTGTCTGCACCGGCCATTCCCACTTCCGAGGCTGGACAGAGAACATCGCTTATTTAAAAAAGGGCCCTAAGGCGCCAAAATATTCGAACCCAAGTCCCAGCTAATAAACAGGTCAGCTCTAGAACGAACTCGGGGGAAACCTAAGCGTCCAAATGCTGAAATCCTCACAGGGGTTTGCAGGACCATTCGGAAGGCAGTGCACCTGCCCTGTCTCCTCCCTGCTTGCCTCCCGCACGCCCCACCTGTGAGGGCGCGCGCAGGGGAACCCCGGAATTCTGTTTTACACGGCGGCCACCTACTCGGTGACCGCTAAATCCTTCTTCCCAGGAGGACGGTAAACTCAGAACAGGGATCCATAAACGAGTTGCAAAAACCGTAGCCGTATATGTCCTTTTAAACAAATATTGCTTTAAAAAGGCGAAACGGTCCACGGTCAGACGTGGCTGGCCGTGGGGCTCTGAACATGGATTCAGGACGTTTACAGATGAGCGTGGGGAACAGTGTGTGTAACTGCAGCCAGCAGCGCTGACTGGGCACTGGGTGACTTTCCGACAGACTGAGGTGCCATCCCGTCACCCCAGACTGCTCGGGGGCTGTTTGGCGCTTCCCTGGATAGTGGGCTCTTCAATCCCTTCTTTCACGGCACTCAGTCCACACGCTGCCCTCCGATTAGGAGGTTCCCCTCGGTGACTCTGTCCTTGGAGAGCGAGGCCAGCAGGAGGACTTGGAAATGCGGGGACACTGCCCTTCTCCGGTCTGTCCCCCCCCTGGAAGGAAGACCGGGGTGCAGTTTCTAGGGCTGGCCGTGGCGTCTCTCTCTGCCGGCCCTAGCTGTTTTATATATAGTAACATGGGCCGGGGAAGATGCTTGACGTTTGCTATTTCTGTAACACTGTGTCAGAAGGGAAGCTTAGCACATCTTCCGAGGGGTTGAAAAGTACTTGTTCGCATTTAGATGTTACTTTTATTGAACCCCCTACACTGAACTCCTGGGAGGAGAAACATTCTTGACCCCCCTCCTCAGGTAGCGGTGGGAGGCTCATGGAGGTGCGTTCACTGAACTGAACTCAGTGGACTACACAAAACACTGCCTGTGACTCTGACGACACCCGTGGGAGCCTCCCCGCACTGCAGGCCTGCACTGACCTCAGACATCCCCAGGGAAGCCCTGCTCTGGCCCCCAGGCACAGAGGAAGCTACACCCGGCGGCCGCAGCCCTGCATGACCACGCCTAGGTCCCTGGCACATCTGCAGAGCGGAGAAGTCCTTCATCCAGGGCGCCCCACCCCCTCTCCTACCCGGCCTCCTGCCTCCGCTCTCCCTTCACCTCCTTTCCCACACTTGTCCCCTACGCTACAATGTAGCTCGTAACCTCGTGACTCCCGAGGAAAGTATCAGCAGAAGCCACAACTCGCGGATGACTCACCATGGAGTCTCCGGCTCCTTCCACCGCCCCGCAGCGCCACCAGACAGGGGGGAAGTTGACCGAAATCCAAGGCAGGACTGTAAATGAAGATTCCGCCCCCTCCAGCGCACGGTCCCTGCTCTAAGGCTGAGGTAGGAAATGGCCCGCTTTAAGGTTCCTATGCAAACTGGCAAACGTTTCTGCGCAGCAGGAGGAAAACAAACACCATGCTCTGGGGATTCTCGGGAGGTCCCTAGCAACACAGCCACACCTGCAGCGGGCGCCGTGCTCCAGGCGGCTTCAAGCCCGGAGCTACCCGTGGGCCTGCATGGCCCACTGCCCCGCTGTGCCTGGCCGGCCATCCCCCGCAGCAGAGCTGCGGCCGGCAAGGTCGTGCGCGCGCGGGAGGCACGCGCGGGAGGCAGGCGCCGGAGGCACGGCGGCGGGGACAGGAGGAGAGGGAAGGAAGGGACTTCGGGAGGGTTGACCTTGAGCATCTCCCTGAGTTGCAGATGGCACGGCCAGGCCCAGCTCAGACGCCGCCAGCCCACGCCATCCCGGGAGGGCGCGGGGCAGGTGGAGGGCGAGGGGGATGGAAAGGTAGGACCGACGGACAGGAAGAGGAAGAGGGCGAGTCCCTGTTCAGCCCGGGATGACAGAGGTGCGGGCAGTGCCCAGAGCGGGGGCTGAGGTGCCCCCGAGGGCCGGCGCCCCCGCGGCGTGCACTCACCTGGATCACCTCGGAAGGGCTGGTGCAGACCCCAGGTGCGCGGCGAAGTGCGGGTGCAGCGCCCAAAGCCTCCGGCAGGACGGGGCGTGGCCAGAGAAGGCCCCGCCCGCCCCCAGGGCCACGCGAGGCCCCGCCTCCAAGGCGAGGGTCCGGTTGCGCCTTTGAATGACAGCTCTAGGCTCCTCCTTGTGAGCCAGAGACTGAAATTTCTCGCTCCTCAGGGCTGTCCATTGATTTGCCCCTTCCACTCCCAAATTTACTTATCTACTCCCACCCACAAACGCCTCAGTAGCTGCTTTTCCAAAGTGGCCTTGCCAGTCCACGCTTTCCGGATTGGGTTTGCAGAACGGTCGCACGTAAGTAGTTTGTCCCCAGTACAGCCACCGTAGCTTGCGTCTGGGCGATGCGCAGGCTGGTACTGCGCGTGCGTGGAAGTAGGGCGCACCCGGCGGGGGTGGGGTTGGTGCGGCACGTGCTCCGTGTCCGGCAGCTACCTTGGCCGAGGGAAGGGGCGTAGGGGTGTGCAGGCCCGCGCGGTTCCCGGACTAGGAAGGGTTCCTGTTAGTCACCGTTGTTGAGAGCCCGAGCTAAGCCCTGCCGCGTGGTGGCGGTATCCGCCCACGCTGCCTCCCCCCCCCCCCCACTTCGCCGTTCTGTTTCCCAGAACGGCCCGTGGCCTTGGGAACCACAGACCTCCGATCGCGTGCACGGCCCTCAGTTGCGCGTGGAGTCCCGTCGCGGGCGGCTTGGCAGTGAGGGCGGCCGCGGGAGCGGGACTCAGGACTCGCCCTGGCGCTGTGAACCCGGCTCGCCCGTTCGCTCCGACCCCCACCTCCTGCCAGGGCGCCACCTCTGGCCCCCTGTGCACGCCGGCCTCTCTGAGAGCGCCTGGGAGCCCAACGCTTCCAAGCGAAGGTGCGGGAGGCAGGGCTGCAGATCTCAGAGGGCTGCAGGCGGCGGGTGGCGCCCGGTTTGCTGGGCTGGCGTACCCGCACCCGCGGAAGCCCCGCGAGGGCTCGTAAAAGGTCTACTGGCGCTGTTTCAGCACCTTCCAAACTTGATCACGCTGTCAACTTCTTAGGTGCAAGAAGGCCTTACACATTTCAGGGTTCTCGCACGTTCCTGGGGAAGGGCTTGTTTTTTACTAAACATGGAAAGGAAGAAAATAGGAAAGCATTGCTTCCTTATGGAGGGAGAGTCCCCTCCCCCCCCTCCCCTTGCTGCTATAGACCGGGTGACCCTCTTCCTGTCTTGAAACTCAGTCCCCAGTGTGTTGGCATTTAGAGGTGCGGCTTTGGGAGGAGGGGTTAGTCCTGAAGGTGGGGCCCCCATGAGTGGGATTAGCGCCCTGGCAAAAGACCCCAGAGAGTGCGTCAGCCAAGGCTGTCATCAGACACTGAGTCTGCTGGCACCGTGACCTTGGCCTTCTCGGCCTGCAGAACTCCCAGAAATGAATGCCTGCTGTGTAAGCCGCCAGCCTCTCGTGTTTCTGTTACAGCTGGAAGGGAGTGAGTCACTTGCTGGCTGTTCTCTGGAAGAAAAGGCGGTGGGAGGGGATGGGCGAGTGACTGGAGGATCAGGAGGGGAGTGCCGGCCCCTCCCTCCCATTGTTTCCTGCCTGACCCCGGAATCGTGCGTGAGAAACTGCAGCATTTACCTCCGGACACTTCTCCCCTTCGTTGGTTTAGTTTCTACCACGTGGCGTATTAGGGGACTCAGTGAAGTCGCTGGTTTATGATCTGGCTCCCCCCATCCAGTGTAAGTTGAATGAAGGGGATGACACGGTCTATTTGCCGCCGTATCCCCAGTGCTTTGAAGGGCCAGGCATACAGTTAGCACGCAATGATCCCTCATTACACGGATGCACGAAAGGTCCGTTCTTGCTGCCTAGCTGTCTGCAACTCCCTGGACTCCAGACCTTTCTGTGAAGCCTGAACCTCTAGCGACCACTGACCCTGGCAGTCCTGCAGCCTTGCAAGACGCGTCCTACGCGGCAAGCGAGCCGGAGTCCCTTTCTGGGGCCTGCGAGGCCACGTCACGTATTTGGCAGAGGGCAGTGACTGCGTCACTGCCCCCCACAGGGGCGGGGCCTGGCTCTGGTCCCTCACTGCGTGGGCCTGGGGCTCGGTCCTGCAGGGGCATTCCAGAATAGCCATTACGCAGCCGTGTGATTCCGAGGGAAATGACGTAACCTCTCCAAAACTCGTGTGGTCTTTTTATCTGCAAAATTTGTCCACTCGACGTGTATTTTGCCCGGCTGTTGTGAAGATAGCACATAGTCAGGGCCCACAGTAGGCGGTAAATAAAAGCTGCTGTTCCTGGTTCTTGTTGATGGCGCCTCAAAATGGCCTTGCGAATCCCTCTGCCTTCGCTTGGGACCGACCCGGACACTCACAGTAGTGTCTTAACTGGCTTCCCTTGCAAAGTCCCTCTCCCACACCCGCAGTTCCCTCTCCAGAGCTGACCGGCCTCCTGTTTGGTGGCTGAGCAGTGCCTCCAGGCTGACATCCGGACTCTCAAGCACGCCGTTTCCATTCCGCCCGGTCAGAAACAGGGAGGCCCCCGGCGGACCCCAGTCTCCTGCAGCCTCAGCCCTGCCTGCTGGGGCCCCTGTATCCCGACTTCTGTGGCTACCGTTTCCTTGCATTTAAAACATGGTTCCTACCTGTGGGTGCATTTCTAAATAAGATAGTTATTTTTTCTGTTTATGGGCTCTGTTCAAATGGAATCATGCTGGAATTTTGTTGTGTCTTGCCTCTTTTGCTCAATGTTAGGTTTATGAGATTCATTATTTCGTAGCGTGTGGCTGAGTTCATTCACTTGCATTGTAGTATTCCACTGTCTACTAAATAACACTTAAAAGTCAATTCTAATGTTGGATGTTGGGATTGTTTCCAGCTTGGGTCTCTTGTAGAAACATGCTTTTAGGAACAAACATGCTTTTAGACAGATGCCTTTTGGTTTATGTGCACCAAGTTTAAAGGTCCGTTCTTGGACTGGGATGGGCTGTGTCAGTTTCACCAGCCTTTCTGTAAATGTCAGCACCCTCCCGCCCCCCCGCAGCAGAGGCGGCCTCCCCTTGCTCAGCAGCCTTGCCGGTGCTTGGTGTCATCAGACTATTAAGTGATTGTCTGTAAGTTTCTTGCTGGTGGCCGATTTAGTTGTTTCTCTCTCTCTTGCCTTCCAACCTTTGTTATTACAACAGCTGTAAGAAACCCAACCTCATAGAATATCTCGGCAAGATTTTCTAAATATATTCATAATGTATGTCTTTATTAGTGGGGATGCTAAGTCAAGGTGACGTAAGTATTGTCAGATTCCCCCCTCTCCCAGCCTGTGGGCACAGCCCAGAGTGCCCCCCCGCCAGAGCTCCCCAACCCCATCGTCTTCAAAGGGTCGAAGTTGCACCCTTAGTTGCACAGGTGTCTCGTTTTTGTTTTGATTTGCACATATCTAATTAGTAATTTTCACTATTCATTTGTATTTAACAGCTGCATTTTTTTTTTGCTGTTGAACACTGCTCGTTCTTACCTTTTGCCTGTTTTCATACTAGATGTCCTTTTTCCTCCTCAACTCCTGCGAGCGGTTCTTCGTCCAAGGAGAGTGGCCTTTGCTGCCGTGTAGGTTGTAAATATTTTTTTCATTTGCCACTGACTTGGGGTTTCGTTTCACTCTCAAGCTACAGAGAAAAAACACTGTGTGTTCGAATTTACCAGTTTTTTATTCTCCGGAAGGTCTTTGCTACCGTCACGCATGCATGCTTTCTGAAATGGTGAGGTTTAGTTGCTGTTTGCTTCCTTGATACGTGTTAACACTTCGATGATTTGTGTGTGAACCGCTGAGGCGCCCCGCTGAGGGCGCGCATCAGGGCCGGAGCCGCCTCCTCCCAGGAGCTTGTCAGTGGGTCCGCGCTTCCTTTCCTGTTTGAGTGTCGCCTTCGCTGTGAACTGAAATGCCATTTGTATTGGGGTCTGGTTTTTTTTCTGATTCTCCATTTTATTTCAATGATGTCTATTTGTTTTTCTCCCGTATAAAAGTTTTGAATCTTGCTCCTGCCTGGGTCTTACTAAGCAAACATTCCCTTTCCCTTACCCCGCAGTCCGAGCCTCACCGGGCACACAGGGCGGGGCCCTGCCCGCCCCCCGTCCCCCCCGCAGCCAGGTTGTGTGGGCGGTGGCGTGGGCGGGGCCCCTTGGCACCGAGCACCCGCTGGCCGGGCCAGGGTGCGAAAGAGGTGCGTTCTGTGATGCTTGGTCGGGAAGAAGTGCCCGGTGCGCACGGGAAACTGCCAGTTCGGCAGGGCGGCGTACAGTAGGTAGGGCCCGTATCTCGGGGCAAAGTCTGACCGCATCTAAAACAATCGTGTACCCGGCGCGCGGGTGTTGGCCTGTCCTTAGGTAGGTAGTTACAGTGTAACCCAGCTGCAGGCCTGGGGCTCAGCGGCTGGGGGCGGAGGTGGACCTACTTCGGGTCCAAAGGGGAACGGGCGTGGTGCGACTCGGGCTCTCTTCCACCCTCAGCAAATGGCTCCGTTTTTGGGAAAGAATAAAGGTCTTTAAATCACACGGCTCGTCTCCTGTGTACTACGTGGATGGCGAGCGCCCTCAGACGCGTCACGCGCGTCCCCCTGAGTCCTGGCGTGTTCATTCCTGCGGGCTCGGCACAGGCCCCGCTCCCGCGCGCCCGGTCCTGCCCGTGCGGCGCGAGCGCCTGGGACCCTGTCTGTCGCGGGTTCTCTGGCAGTGCCTCCTCACCTCTGCACGTCGTGTGTTTGCCACCCTGCTTCTGGCTGTCACTTTCAGACGTTGCTGCTTGACTCTGTGCTGTGACAGCTGGCTTTCACCCCCCTCTGCCCCTCCCCCGCCCGTCCGTGCAGTGCGTCTCCTTCTGCCACAGCCACGCGCCCAGGCTCGGGGCCGCAGATCTTTTCTGACCTCTGTCCCCAGGCTCTGCGCTCGGCCTCAGCGTGACCCGTTCCGGACGTGCCCAGGTCCTCCCGGTGCTCAGACGGGGCGGTGTTCTCACCTCAGGAGGCCTCTGCTCTGCTCACTGGGGGTCACACCCGTGGTGGGAGGTGTGGCAAGGACTGTACGTCTGTCCCTCTGCCCTGTGGAAGCAAACACC